GCCCGGCCCCACACACTGCCCGGCCCCTCACACTGCCCGGCCCCTCACACCGCCCGGCCCTTCGCAGCTGCCGCTTGCTCTGCGGCTCAGAGGGGAAAATACACGGCCGAGCGTGGCAAAGCGCCGGGGGATGATGTGTTCCGTCTCTGATATCCGGGGTTTTAGTGAAAGCAGCGCTGCAGGAAGTGTGGGCTGTATGGGAATACGCGAGCGCGTAAAATCCATTCGTTTCGTTTAGCTCGGAGAAGGGGAGGCAGGTTTAGTGGAGGCGTGGAGGGCAGGCAGCAAAGGGGGTGTCCGGTGCTGTTCAGCCGCCTCGGGACATCTGCACACCCCAGCTGCCTGGTACCAAACTCCTGAGAGCCCTTCCGAGACTTTCCTGTTTGTTGGCAGGGTCTCAGGGAAGTCACTTTGTGGGATTCCCAGCTGCAAGGCAAATACGAGGTCAAATACAGGCTGGAGTGGCAAATGCCACTGTTGGCACAGGTCTGTCCTCACAGGCAAAGCAAGAGCTTTGGGATCTAATGGCCAAACTCACAAACTGGACTTGATCGGTGTGCTGAGAGCAAAGTCCCAGAAGGTAGAAAACGGGGTAGCTCAATGTTGAGCATTTCTGGGAGATTCCAGGCAGCCCAGCCACGATGGATTACTGGAAGTACTCCATCATCAGCATCCTGGTGGAGAGGGACATTGAAGATGAGGCTATTGTGGGTCTTTCTGATAATGGATGTGTGTGGGCAATCAAGCCAGGAGAGCTCCTCACACTCACCTCAAGAATCACTTGATCACAGACCAGGATCGGAAAATGTTCCTGTTAGTGGGAATCACCATAGATTATAAAAAGTGTGGTAGGATTAGTGAAAACCTGCTCGTGGATGAAGACAACGTGATGGATGTCAGTGACAGCAGATCTATTCCTACTGACATGATCCCCAAACCCCTGATCTTCCTCATAGGCAAGAATGGAGCCCACAGAGGAGTCCTTAATTAAAAAGACCAGGATATGACTCTGAGCATGAAAGCATGACACAAATAGTGCCAAAGAGACAGTCAGCTGCCTGAGCACAGGAAAGGGAATTAAACCTGTTTTTGTTGCAGATGTCTTTGCATGTTTCTTTCAGATAAGGGGTGCTGGGCAGGGCAGTGCTGGGACACTAACAATCCACCTGAGTAGGTGTGGTACAGAAGGGAGTAAGTAATGTGTACGTTCCTCATCAGGATGCTCTGTATTACTTTTGTGGTCTCCCAGCCATTTTGGGTAGTTGCTCCTTGTTATTCCTATTTTACTAATTGATATTGGGATAAAGGTAACATTAGCTTTGTGAAAAGGCAAGAGGGAGGGCAGTGCCTTTGCCCTCTTGTTCACCACTTTGCTGTTTAAACCATGTCCTGATTCCTGTCCCATGACAGGTTTGGGAACTTTCTCCTTCTACAAGTACACCACAACATGAAAGATAAACAGAACTTGTGTTTACTTTGAATTTGCCCCCTGAACAAGCCCAGAACAGTTTTGGAGATTAACTTCTGTTCAGCAGAATCTTGTGCTGCTGTTGGATTGTGTGGGGGACGTGCAGAGACAGCCTGCTGCCTGCTCAACTTCCACACCACTTAAAACCCTTTCTTACGCCACTTTTCTGGGACACTCTGCCCTCCATATCCCTGGGATCCCCACATTGCTCCAGGTAAATCAGAGGTGCTAAACTGCTTGGTCTGATTTGACCAGACCTGCCCCACCACCTTCAAATCATTGACCCACTGACTCAAAAATAATTACTTGTGATTGCTTTTATGACTCCTCCAGATACACAAGAGAGGAGCCAACCTTGCTGAGCAGACTGAGAGCCCTTGCACACTCTTTGGTAACCATTAATCTTCTAATCTAACAGGGAAGTCTATATTTTGTTGAATTTAATTGAATTCACACAGAGGTCTTTAATCTGCACCTGCACCCACAGGAACAGAAAAATGCTGTAAGGGGAACCAGGCGTCTTATGTGTTAACAAATGTTCAACAAAACTGCAGCAACTGTCTAATGTCTGATAAGCAGTGCTTGCAAGCAGGAATCAAAGCATATTAACATAAGTACTAAACAGATAAAAACAAAAACACAAACTGGTTTTAAATTAGCAAGGAAAGTGATGCATCACGTGAAATAAATGAAAAAAACAAACAAACTACTATTTATGCTGGCCACTCCTGACAAACATTAATGCTTACTTTCACAAGCTTAAGACAAAATTGAGTAACCAACTCCTGTGGTTTCTTGAGCACAGTATTCTCCACTGTGTAAACTGCAACGTGCAGAACGATTTTGCTCTCCTAACTCCTGTCTATGAGGCATCAAAATAACAGAATTTGAGATAAGACAAAAAAAAATTGGGTGATTTACTGTTTGCTTGCTTCTTCTGCGTGCCAGAGAAAATAGGTCTGGAGTACACATATACTTTACCAGCATGAGAATTTGGAGAAGTAGAGACCCTGATGGTTGTGAAAAGCTAGAGCTCCTTCCTAGCTGCACAGTGGGCAGCACAATGATGTACAGAACCAGGTTCTTTTGGTTCAAAGGACTTGTTAAAAGGACTTGTTAACTGAATTCAGAAATAACTCTTTGGCTAACAATTGGGTATTAATTTAGAGAAAAAATATTTCAAAATCCAAGAAGGACTTTAAGCTTTCATTCCCTAGATCTACTAACCTAAGCAGCCTAAGGAGATTTTATTCAGACCAGCCCTTCTGTTTCATTCAGCCCTAACTCTTCTTGAAGAGTATGGCGAGAAGGAGCTTAAAGAAATAAGACAAGGCAGCAGTGTCTGTATACTCTCTCCTCTCCTCTCCTGCTATGAAACAAGGAACATAAAATCAGAAGTAGCTGCAGAGAGCACAGTTGTGGCTAAATGTTTCAGGTCTGAGTCCATAGGCTTTGAGGAAAGCCCTCTGCACCCATGCACCAGGTGCCTCCCAAACAGCCCCCAGTAAACAGCCTGACCAGCAGGTTTGTTTAATCCTCCATCCCAGGTGCTTACCTACGAGCCACCAGCTCCTTGTACTGTTAAGCAATGTGAATAGAGCCACTCAGACAAAATAGGTACTGGTTTTGTTGCAATCCAAACACAGCCTCTTGTGTGACAGAACTGTGTTTGTTGTAGCCAGAGCAGGCACAGTAATCCTGCACTTAAAAGCAAATGACCATGTTTTCAATTGCTGATAACTTCCTCAAAGTTCGGGACAGTTGTGCTGAAATCCTCTGCACCAGGGTCTTGTTTCAGGCTTCCTTAAAATGTGTCTGATCACATGAAGAATTCCCAGTGTCAGTCTTGCAGCAAACTGGGTCTGGGCTCCCTCAGTCATGAAAGTGTATGATGCTGACATATCTTTAAAAAGCATGGCGTTAACTCAGCAGCACAGGACAAATTTTCAGGTAGAGAAAGATTTTATGGAGAAGGTAAAAGGCATATCTGCCTTCAGATGTAGTGAACAATTTGAGATAATTCTAGAGGCAAACCTAGACTATCTTGTAGCAGCAGCTCAATCAGAGGCCTAAGATGAATGATGAAGAAATAGTTGAACAATTTTACTTGTTTCCACTAAGAAAAAGACAAACAGCTGGAGATCTTCTAGGTCTTCAATATATACACATTTATGTACTTTGGAAAGGTATAAATTTCCACATTGAGGGGAGAGGTTTGGATGAACGTTATGAAAAAAACAGTGACAAAGACAGCAAAATGCTAACCTCAATTAGGTGTCATTGTGTTAGGATGGAGCTAAATGTAGCCTGGGCTTGTCTCAGTGAAGGAATTAAATCCACGCACTGGGGATATGGCAATTATTTTTTCAGTGAATTTTTGATAACTCAGCAAAAGGCAAGGATGAGGGGAAAACATGGCCAAGTATGCCGATTTCAACAAGATATGATAAAAATAATACTATACTCATATACACACACAAATTGTATCCTTTTTCTAAAGTTAGAACAAACAATAAATTCAAACAATTCCTTCATAGAGAGAAGAGGAGGATAAAAGCATTGCTGCTTCCTCTTAAAATCTTGAAGGAAATCAGATTTCAGTGAGTCATGCACTAGAAATGAGCTCAGTGAAATTTCATGTGTGGAAAAATCTCAGGCGAGTAATTGGCGATGATAGAGTTATAAATAGAGTTATTAATGATAGATGCTTTTTAATAGAGCTAGAGCAAAGAAAAAAAAAAGGATCTCTCTTTTTTTGGTGAGGTTTTTCCTATGAAGGGAATTATTTATATCCGAAACCCGGGCAGTTGATCGGCTACTTTGGTAGCTGTCAGCTGTCATTCCAGACATGTAGGAAGGTGAATTGAAAGTTATCTTTTTCTTCCAGCCAAAAGCTAAACTTCAGTCTTTCTAAATGCACCAGGAAAACACAGAAATGGTTGGTCCAGGCAAATGTTTGGACCGGTATGAACTAACAGAGGCTGTTGATATTACATTTACAGTGTTCTGTAAATGCTATTTTCCATGTGAATATAATATCCATGGGCAGCTTCAAGAGTCTAAAAAGTCAGGATAGAGCTGTGCGTCACCTGGGAAAGCAGGTGAGGACCAAAGGAGAGGCTTTGGGGGGGGCAGGACATTTGTTCTGCAGCACAAACATTAACACTTCTGCAGCTGCGGTTTATCAGCCATCATGAGGCAGGATGAGATTCACCAAGGACAGGAAAGTCCCCACCCTAATTCAGGCACAGCTGAAAAAACAGTCTGATGCTAGTTCAGTGTCCCAGGAAAGGAAGGAGCAAGGATTCCTTTGCCAGCAGCAGAAACGGGGGAATACAGAAAGTAGGAGGAGGCGAGTATGTGTGATTTGCTGGAGCTAGGATCCAAGGTACTCCTGGGGGGGGGAGGGGGGGTGACATTCCAGTCTGCCAACCTCCAGTTCAAAATTATACATCCTCTCATAGGCAGCTGTCATCTCTCCAGCAAAAGGTGAGCTTTAGAAACAAGAAGTGGCCGTATTTCATCCCCTCACCTCCAGTGAATCTTCCTTCAGGATTGTTTTTGAGGCACCGCAAGAACTTCAGGGCAAAGTGCAATGCATTTTTAGGAAAAAACCTGACATAAAAACAACCTTCCTATGGCTTTACATGTGAAACACTTGGACAGAGGAGGCTCAGGATTCCACTGGGTAGGAAACACCAGTATACAGAGATGCACGTTGCACTGCTGAGACCCCACATCCTGAGAGTGAATATGGAAAAACAGGGAGGTCAGCCTAGGGGAAGGCAGGAAATCCCTGCAGGAGATGAGGCAGAACAACGGGGCAGGCTGACGAAGCTGGAAATCTGTGGGGTTTTTTTCCCAGGAGATGGCAGTAAAGGACAATCGCCTTTCAGCCAGCGGGGTGGGAGCCGAGCTGCTCCTCAGGCAGCGCTGCCACTCTCGCCAGTCTCTCCTTGTTACCAGGAGCAAAGCTTTATTCTTCGCGTCAGTGCTTCCAGCAAGGGTGAGGAGCTCAGTCTTCTACATTTCCATACAGCAGGTAAATTAAAAGCTTTCTGCTTACCGTGGCAGGATCCCACTCAGAGCCTCATCCAGACTGGAAGAAGCCCAGGAGGTTTCTCCTCCAGCCTCTGCTCACAGCAGGGTAAACTCTGCATTCGCACTGAGTTGCTTCCCACTTTGTTGCTTTCCCACAGTCGTGCCTTGAGACACTCTAGAGACAGACTTCAGCCTCCTGAAGTAACCTCTTCTCGTGCTTAATGATCATATTACTGCTTTCCCTGGCTTGTTTCTGGCTGAAAACTCCCCGTTTTGGACTTAGGACTGTGACCTCTTGCTGTCTGGCTGCAGACTTCAGTAAAGAGCCTGGCTCCATCTTGTTGGAAATCCTTTCTGATGTATTGAAAAGCTGTTGTCAAGTTTCTCCGAAGTCTTCCCTCCTCCAGCTGAACAAGTCCAGAGTCCTGCATCTCTCCTCATGCACATTACAGGATTCAGGAAAGTTCACCACCCTCTCTGAGCCCAGTCTAGACTTCAGTATTAGGCCTGGCAGCCTAATACTACTTCCTCAAAGGAGAAGGAAGAGAAGGATTTTATTCCTTTACTTTTTCTTAATTTAATTATTTCCATTAATCTACAAGTTCTTTAGACTCTCTACTCTTCCTTGAAGAAAAAAGGATTTCCAAAGCACACTCTGTACAGGTAACTGCAGCAACATTGTGCATATTTTAGGATCGGTTTTGTCTCAGAAGAGGCTAGTGTTCAGCTAATAAGGGACTTTGGATACAGAAAAAGAGACTACTGGTTTTACTGCACCCCAACACAAAACGGGTCCCTGTCCCAGTCTTACAGACAGGCAGAGTTCAGAAAGGACATTCATCCCTGAAGTGATCCGTGACCTGGGAGTGGCAAAGATCTCAAAGTGCCAAAGTGGTGTGGTACAGCTCTCCTCAGTCACTGCACTTCCAGAGCAAGCTGTGCAAGAGTGCTTCCTTGCTGCTAATGTTGCAGGACAAAGGACAATAGCTATGAGTCCTCTGCCATTTCCTCAGAGCCTAGTAAGCCAGAGGAGTAATTAAATACTCTGGCAAAATCAGCAGAAATATGCTTTATTCTGCTCTGTGACTAATTGAGCAGTCACCAGGAACAGCCAGGAATTTAAAGTGACTTGCCAGGCTGTCTGGTTAGTGGAGTTTGTTGCTGAGAGAAGCATGGACAAGTTGATAACCTACTTCTTGACACTCTTGCATGTATTCAGCTTCCTGAACCTATTTGTCCTGTCATTTGTTATAAAGCACAGTGAAAGGTGCATGGAAATCTGAAGGGAACCAGATAGGACAGTAGCACACCACTGAAGACAAAACCTGGCAAGTGAAGCAATGGGTAGAGGTATCATGCAAGGGGCTGAAGGGAGGACCATATTTTGTACAGCTCAAACATCAAATAAAATCTTCCCCGTGTACTCACCACAGTATCCACCGCATCCCACATTGTTTATGAGAGAGTCAAACATCTGTTTTTTTTCCTCAGAGGCACCAGGAGCTCAGCTGCAGACAAGCCTATTTTAATAAAAGAGCCTGTGTGCACTTATAGGTTGAGAGCTGTCCCTGCTGGGGTGGCTTGTCCGAGGACAACCTTGCCAAGAATACATAACAGAATGTGTTATGTGCAGAAGCCAAGGTTCAGTCCCAGACTGCCCTCATGGCTTGGCACCTGCCAGGGATGGGAACCCAGGCTCCTCATCAGTCCCAGCCTCATCCCCATCACCAAGGTCTTGTTCTCCCTCAATCTCACAGGCAGACTTCCAGCACGGCAGTTCTGCTTCAGATGGAGCTGCCCATTTTGTTGGCTGAGCAGATGGCCTACCAGCCATGCTGAGGTGCTCAAGGGACATTTCCTCATCCATTATGTCAGCAAGACAACATTTAACAGCAGAGCTGCAGGACCTGCCCCGTTCTACCTGTTTGCATCATAGCTAAGCCAGGCCTGGCCCAGCAGAGGTGCTGCCATGACTGATGGGAAGTACAGCCCTCTGCCATCCACCCAGCTGAAAAATGAACCTCACCCTCTGGATTCAGATCTTCTAGACATTGCTTCCTGAGATGGGCTAATGAAGAGAGTAGCAAACCCTCAGGCCAAGGCTTGGCCTCACAAATTCTCTTCAGGTGCTGAGTGAATCACTGCTTGAGGAGAACTGATAAGCAGCACTAATTGGTAACCTCTGTGAGAACCATTAGTTCATTTTGAGGGAGGAAAATGAATCATTAGCTGGTTTATTGCAACAGCTCAGGTTACTTTTCTTTCTCTCTCTTCTTTCTTTATTTTTTGGTTTATTTTAGAAACATTGGCCAACCAAAGCTGACTCACCAATATGCCTGAGGCTCTTCTTTTCTCAGGCTCACACAGAAGCACCATGTACATCTCATTGAGGTTCTGTATGGATAGCAACCAGGTTATTCCCTTAAAGTTGCACCAGGTGAGCAGAGGCTGGATGTCAGCAGGCCAAAGTCTACTGTGCTAAGTTCAGGAGCTAAGGTTCATGTTTACTGTTGTGGAAGGTCAGAAAGGGCTGGACCCTGTGTGTTGCAATGAGGGAACAGCCTTATTGGTCAGGGGACACACAGACAAATAGATGGGACACTCGCTCCACACAGAAAGATGGAGACACCTCTCTATCTGGCTTTAGTAATTTGAAAAAAGGATCTAATGATCTAATGATTTATGCTGTAAGAGCACTGTGAAACATGGAGTGGTGTAACACTAACCTGAAGTTAATCCCAAACTCCGCAGGCTGGTGTGGCATGTGGGTGTTAGGACAGCCCTGTTCTCACTGCATTATCAAAAGCCCTACAGCATGCTGGTGGGGCAGATAAGGGGGACAGGTCCCCGTCCCCACAAAAAAGCTCAAGAGAAATACCTGAAGAGAAACGCCTAAATCAATGTGCAAAATCCCTTTGTGGCTATTCCTACCCCAGCTTTTGCAACCTTAGATCCTCTGCAGCCTCATCTCCACACCTTGCTGTTCCTGAGCATTTCCACACAGTCTAGGCTACAATCATGTCCTACCAGGGCACTGAGGACACAGGGAAAACAACGTAGGGAAGTTTACACTGCAGCTTCCCCTAGCTGGCTGGGCTGCTGCTGAGAAACTCCTCCTTTTTGTGCTTACTTAGATGTGTAGGTAAAAGCAGAAGTGGATCTCGTGGCTTTTATTTACAGTCCAGTTAGAAAAGAGAGTAACACCCCGCCCCACCCCCCCATCTGATTCATTTGCTACATTTAAAAGAAAATACAGTGTGGTTTGCCAAGACATACAAACCCCTTTGTTCAGAAAAGGCAAAGAAAGCAAGTGAACAGCATTTTTTTCCCGTTAAGTCAACTCCTTGATTACAAAAACACCATCAAAACTAGATGGGTATATAATACAGAAAAAGTGCTAGCAGGAAAGTCATTTACCACTACCACAAAAGACTGACAGAAACAAACCAACAAACTCCACAAAATTTTTAACGCCCATAAACCACCTTGTTCTTGTGTCATCAATATATGATTTATGTCCCTGGAGATGTGACATGGAAGCTGCTGCATCTGCACCTCTGAGCTATTTGATATTGACATCCTCTGCTTACAGCTTCCAGGTGCAGAAATTAAGATGGAGCTTGCAGGTTATTTGGCCCAGTTCTCATAGGTCATATTTGTACTTTCTTATACCAAAAGCTGCGTGTATATTTTTTTTTCTCAGATGCAGCTGGCAATCAATTGTTTTTCCCCTGGTGAACACCACATAATTAGGCATAAAATGCCCCAGCTTCCAGAATCAGCTATATCCATTCTAAGTAAAAAAATGTATACAGATTTCATAGTTGCAGAGGAAAACTTTAAAATGTTAATCATAGTGAGCCTTCAGTGCCGCAAAATCACAAACACACACCTCATTTTCTTTTTGGATTTTTACATCTTTCTCATGATTATTTAAAGGCTCATTATGTCCAGTGTTTGAAATGAACAACCATGATGCAGCGAAGCTCTCCATGTCTCAGGCCACATTCCATTTATGTCCAAGTATATTTTTAAGTACACTCATAATCTTAACCCTATCAGGTAAAATAACACCACCAAACTCAGAATCCCAGAGAAACAGAGACTGTCTTTTCCTAATCCTCTGCTGTTTGCTTCCTCCACTGCTTTGACAATTCCTCTCACTACCCAAACTCATCTCTACCTCCCCAGCTGCTCTCCTATCCTCTGTTTTCCTTCATTTCTCTCTCCCTCATCAACTTGCTTTTCCATCCATCCTTGGCTCCCTTCCACACAGCACGAAGCTCTGGAAAACCAACTCATGCCCGAAAACCAACTTCAATTAATCAAAGATTATTTTCTCATCCTTTTGCTTCTTTGACCCGATCTGATTTTACAAAGCACTGGAATTTTTTTTCAGAGAAGAGGACTCAGTCTTGGAAAGGGCCTGGCACAGGGGCTCAGGGCTGTTGGTCCAGGAGGTTTTTCAGATCCAGGTCTCAAATTTAATCCTGAGAAAGCAGCAATGGCCTCGTGTCCTCTCCCGTGGGGCACAGGGAGCTGCGTTAGCGGACGAAGGACGCCACGTGTGCTGACACTCCAAAGGGAGCAGAATAGGCTGCTGCTAATCCTTGCAGGCCGACCACCAAGTAGTGACAACCCTTCTGCAGAACCTTCCCGACATTCTGAGGAGAGAGATGAGAAAAAGGGATAAAAAAAAAGATAAGGTGATAGAAAATACCTTCACGTAAAATCATTCCGACAGCCAATGTCACGGCCCCAGAAAATGAAATTCTCCCACAGCTAAAAAGGGTTGGAGAGTGGAAAAACATTTTACCATCTATTTTTACATAGGCATACACACCCACAGGGTATAGTTAAACTGAACGGATGCAGCCTCCACAGGAAGCCAGGCTTTTACACGTGATTCTATTCAAGAATAAAATTAGTTTAAATTCACCCTAGTTTGTGGAAGTACATCATTCCCACATTACACGTTCTAACGATGTTAGTAATTCCTAGAAGTTCATAAGGTGCTAAAACTGGAGCTGAAGAAGGCGGCAGTAATCACTGAGAATACTTTTATGGAAATATCACTGCTTTTCATCAAAATAAGATTTTTTTTGTCAAAATAAAAAACTTTTGATCCACATCAGTACACATTCAGGAACTCATCTATGTACTGCACTAGAGATAAACTTGCCATGAATTATTTAACCGAAAATCTTAATTTAATTTTAATTTCATTTTTGATAGTTTTTGCTCATGTGGCTGCTCATGACTGGGGAGTTAATACAATGTGGTCAGATTTGGAGGAGTATCAGAATTAATTTTTAGCAACTCTTTATGGTTGTGTGGGACTAGATTAAAATGACCTCTTGTAACATGGAGAACACTGAATCTGAGTAAATACTTTTAAATCAGCGAAATCTAGTCAATATCTATTATATTCTTCTGATTTCTTAAAGCTGGATTACTTTACTTAAAGAAGTTCTGGCACATAAAAACCTTCAGCTGTCATGATGCTACCACACAGTTGAACTTTGATGGTTTTACTCCTATGGAAACTTACTCAAAAGGAGTTAAGACGCCAAAATAAAAAGGCAGCTCGAGCCTGGGGGCAGATCCTGAGGCTGGAGGAGGAAATGCAGAGCCTTCCCTTCCCACATCTGCCCCTGCCCTCACTATGGCACACTGGAGTCTTCTTCCCCCCTGCCTGCCCTTCACTTACCTACCCACATCTAACCAGTTCTTTCATGAGTTGTTCTTTATGCCAGAGCCAAACTGGCAATTCTTCCCCGTGGGAATGTCATCTGACCAACACAAAAGGGAATGCACAGTGCCCAAGAACTGGCCTGTGCTCTAAACACCATTCAAAGCACCTTTAGACCAACAGCACTACCAGCAAGGTGATGACCTGCTGCAATCATTCTCACAAAACTGCACCTTACAGATCAGGCCTACAGGCTTGAGACACCTTCCTACAGCATGGGACCTGGAAAACACAATGCTGGAAACTCAAAGAATCAAATTCATCACAAAAGAATGAAATATTCTTGTCATTTCTTTATGAAACAGTAGGATTTGAGAGGCGGCTCTTGCCAGTGCTGACATCTGTAAACTCTATTTCAAAAGTAACTTTGCCAAGCTAATGGCATTTTCAGCATGTCAGACATAGCAAGCATATCTTTACCAAAATCATGGTTTTTTTAATAGAATGCAGTAGAAAGTCATGTCTCATGCTGACACCTGTAATCTCAGCAGCAGGAAAAGGATTCCTGACAACAGACAGGTTTGTCCTGCCTAACACAGAAACTGTTTTTTCCTACAAACATCCAAGACATACTTGACATGTACTTAAGTGACAAGAACAAGAGAAAAACAATAGAATTCTTCCACATGGCAGCTTTGTAACCAAAGGCACCGATCTTCCGGTGGGAGGAAAACCAAACCACCAGACTGCAGGACTTGTGACTTCCCACACAGGAAAGCAAAAGAACAATTTTGATCCAAAACTGTTGTTACGGATGAAGAACAAGCTGCAATTCTTTCCCTGTAACTCACAGCAGTGATTTCTAAGGGTCACCTTGGCCAAGGAATGTCCTGCAGGGCTGTTTACCGTTTCTTTCGGGCACTTCAATGGAAGGGAAAAAAATGCAGGCCAATTAACTGGAAGTTTTAAGGAATAGTTTTTAAAATTATGACGCCGAGGAAAACACAGAACCAAGTGAGGCAAAGCACCCGTCACATGGATCAGCTTAGTGTCATTTTCACTCCGAATAGACAGATTTTGTGCTCTTTGATCCAGGCGACGGTCGGTGTCCAGCCTCCCCCAGCAGCACCGGCTCCTCCCCGAGCAGGTCCGGAGCAAGCCCCGATCCCCACCTCGGAGCCGGGCGCCGCTTCTGAAATTCCTGCGGGATAAGGGGCATTCCGAGAGCCCCTCGGAACTGTCGGAGCCGAGGCCCCGCTGCCCTCCCGGCACCGCAGACCCCGTGCCGGGGACACGGTGTCGAGGGTCCCCGCTCCGGCCGCGCCGTGCCCTCACCTTTCCGTACTTCTTCAGGCGCTTGCCATAGGGCCGCTTGCCGGGGGCCCGCGGCGGCCGCAGCGGCTCGTAGGGGCCGGGCAGGACGGCGAAGCGCACCTTCTTGCCCCCGGCACCCTCCTCCTCCTCCTCCTCCTGCTGCTGCAGCACGGCCGGCCGCGGGGCCCCCGCGCTGCCCGCCGCCGCCGCCTCCTCCTCCTCGCCGGGCAGGATGGAGACCTGGTCGTCGCCGGGCCCGCGGCGGGAGAACCTGCCCCTCACCTTGGCGCCCAGCCGCGCACCCACCGTCATGGTGCCGCCGGGCGCCGACCCGTCTGCGCCGACCTCGGGCGCTTCCTCCGCCGCTGCGCCACAGGTGTGGCCGGAGGCGGCCGCTGCCCCCTCCCCGGGGCGGGACGGCTGCGGGAAGAGGCGCCCCGGCCCGGGGCTGGCGAGCGAGAACCGGCGGTGCCCCCGGCTCCGGACCCTGGCCTCGCCGCCGCTCTGGTGCGGGAAGCCGGGAGCCGCTGCGGGAGCCCGGGATTGGAGCGGGTCAGATCAGCGGGGACAGGTGAGCGCTGACGGGGCGGCACAGCCCCGCACCGCCCCTGGGCTGCTCCGGCCTCGGGCCGCCAGAGCCTCGGAAGATCCTTCCGTGATACCGCACGCACTGCCCCGGCCCACGGCAGCACCGCTCCGGGAGGTCACGCTCTTTCCCTGTCAGCGAAAAACGCCAAGCTCCTTGGACATCCCTCTGTTATAGGTGTTCCTACTAAAGCCGTGGGTGAACAGCCTCTTCAGTCCTGGGCTGCGTTCGGCCACCCCTGGCCAAGTGGAAAGCGGCGAAGAAGTTTCTCAGTGGCTTTTGCCCAGATGCTGGGGTAAGCTGTGATAGCCCCACCTCCGCGGCTGGGGTGCTGCCGTCTAACAGCTGCCTCTCCTAAGCATTGCTCCTCAACTGGGGTACACCAAGAAACGCAGAATTTTACAGGGGTGCGTAATACACCAGTTGGTGTATTTATCAACATTTGATATGCATATGAACGCTTAGTATATGCAACACGGGGACAGACTAATCCTTTCCTCTGGAAAAGGAGGAAACGAACAAGGCCTCGAACCTACATCTCCCCAAGATGTGTGCATAACATTTGGAAAGTAAATCCTGCACGTCACATTCTTATCTGCCCGAGGACGGTGATTCATCACCTTCACAGCTCCAGAGAATGTGTAAAGAACAGTGGGGCCATGTCCCTGAAGGGTGGAAGGTGTGAGCTAAGTCTCAGGACTGTCACTACACAAGTGCTCTATCCCATAAAGGAGCAGCTCTGAGGTAGGTAATTTTTCCCCGTCTTCCCAAGAGAGGCAGGCCTTTCCCCACAGACTTGGTTTGTACCTCACAAGTTTGCCTCCTTTTTCAGAATTCAACTATCAAAAACCTCACAGAACACATCTCTCAGCTGAGATTTAGTGCCTCCACTTGCATGGTGGCCGGGAAATCACACGTTCTGAGATGAATATGTCTAAGGTACCCTTAGGTGTTTGACATCAGATACAAAACCTCACGTCTAAACAGCTCATGGAATTTTAGCATCATCCATTACTATATGGCATAATGACCCCACTTGGTTCTCCAGCAGTGTCATTCATTCAGTGGACTAGGAATGACTGTTTATTATATTTTCAGATTCATATAAATTTTAATGCTTTTAAACTGGACTGTGTGAAAAGGGATGCACTAGTTTTGGAAATGTTGGTATACCTCAAAGAAAGAAATAATGCAAAAAAAACCCCAACCCAGACCAGCTGAACCATGCAGTAACCCCACTGCTCCCCCTCCACCCATCCCAAACAGCCCCCAGCGATGCTGCCAACAAATTACAGTTGAATTCATGAGGCCTCTGAAGAGTCGAGGCATCCCTACCCCTGCCTGGAGCTGTGAAATATGATGCGGCTTTAAAACTCTTTTGTATTAACTTAAATCTGTGCTGATAAAGTGCCACACCAGTCCCTTCCCACGTGGAAGTTGGGAACATTTGGATCTGAAATGCAGCTTATCCCACACTTACCTAAGGTCCAGCACAAGGCAACTCTTGAGGGCACCCAGAACTAGGCACTGAGTTTGGGTAGGCACCCTCTCACTGATCCCAGACTAAGAAGACAGCTTGCCAATAAAACCAGAGACCGTTTTCAGAACTGCTTCCTCTGATCTTCCCCTCTTACTCCTGCTGGGCAGATTTGGAAAGCCAAATGCTGCACTTACGTGCACCTACACCTTTTGCACTCAGACTGTGTCCTTGAGGAAGCTCTGGGTATACTTGCTATGGAGAGCATAAGGTGGGTCACACCTCATCTTCCAGCAAGGCAAAAGGAGGAGGGAACAGGGTTTAGGAATCAGGGCAGTTTCACACTGCTGGCAGCCACTGGACAGAACACCATCTGCAAGCTGCCCTGATATATAAACGTTACATAAACATGGCAGTGCCATGTTTCATGAGAAAGTTGAACTAAAATTCATCAGCTCTGCCCTCTGGAAAAGCTGTGTGTTTTATCTGGTTACATGGAGTGGTGAAAACCAGCGGCAATCTAGGGCAAAGTTAGCCATGGAAAAACAGTGCCTGTTAAGCGGGAAGCTCTCCTAAGTACTTAATCTACTGTCTCACAGCATGACCTATATTTTTTCCACTGAACCTCCTGAAAAGGCAAAGGGTTTTGTTTCATGACCAAGTTCATACATGACCTTAGATTAGTATCACTGTTACATTCCAGTTGTGTATTTTTAAGAATAATTGAGCATTTATGGACACTTATGGGTGAATTGAGCAGACACACAACCCCCTCCTCCCCAGACTGATTTTTGGTGAATTCCTGTAAAATCTCCTGGACATCCATTTCTAAGCAATGCTAACCACTGACAGTTTCTGAACAGAGCAGGTCCACTGAACCCATGCAATGCTAATCCTGAATTCACACCATGCTGAAGATGGAGCCTGTGCACCTTTAAATTGTTTTGCTACCTGCAGTAATGAGATGTGCTTTTATAAAGGGCAAACAACAAGTATTTTAGTATGAGAACTGTTCAAGTAAGTTTTAATAGAGTGCACCAGTGAATCAAGATGACTTGCATCAGATTTGGTTCAATGAACATCAGATAAAAAAAGAAAAGGGGCTACAGTTCTTTCTTTCCAAACACCACCCTTTTTCTAAGGCAACAATACACGTCCATTTCCGAACATAACTGTTACATAGGAAAGCTACATCACAGTACAGTATGTAAAGTCCATCTCGGTCAAGAAGCCATTAGAGAATGGCACATTTACTACACTTACAGCTTTCTAACTTAGGGTTACAGAGTTTACCACAGCTTTTTTTTTAATTTTTATTTTTTAAAGTGACAATTTCTTAATGAACTTTCTATTCTTCACAAGAGTGTGCAGATGGGGCCCATATGTTGATATTACAGTAATTACGACATTAAATAACATTGCACAACCAACCTCTATGGTTAATTCAGTACAAAAGAACAAGTATTAAAATGTACCAGTACTAGTGGTTTTACATAGTTTATAGTCATTAATTATGAAGGAAAAAAAAAAAGTGGGGCTGTTTTTTTTTCTTTTCTGTAGGCAAGTGCCTAATTACAAAGCTGCACATTACAGGCATAATGAAGTGGAATAAATACAAGAAATCTGGTAAAATATTAAACACAAACAGGTTACATGGGAACAAACTGTACAACCACAAAAGCATAAATCAACAATTTATCATTATAAACAATGTATGTTTAGCTGTAAAATATTATGTAGAATTGCATGTACTCTTTGGGGGCACATGTTCCAAAAGCCAAGCTAATTCCTGAGGTGGTATTATTAACTTACACAATTGGTCAACACTTCAGATTATCTTGTGCTATTAAACAGTCCCAATGTTAATAGATTTCCATAAAATGGAATTTGTAGTATTCTGAAGGCAGCAAATAAGTGATATTTTACACCAAGATATTCAAATGAGATAATTCCGGTTCTCCATTTGGTGCTACATTTGTTAATGAGCCATGGGAATTATAAGCACTGGAATTTGCAGACAGAAATCACTTATGCCTGGTTTCTGTTCCCCCACAGCTCTGAGCTGGCCAAAGGCAGAACAAAGTTTCTAAACTGTAAGTGCCAACACTGTAAACATATTTGTCTCTTTTTTTTCAACTAAACACTGTCCAATAACAAGGATAAGAGCCAAAGATAAGCAGGAACAGTCTCATGTAGAACAAAAGCCAATTACTCATCGACTTTTGGTTCAACTCATGAACAATTTTTAAATAATTAAAAATGGTCATGCTACAGTTGTGAAAACTGGTTTGTGCATTTGACTCAGGACACAAGTTTTTAAAAAACACATGGTAGAGGTAAGACTTATAAAACCCACCAAAAATGTAAATGATAGGGAAGAACTTTTCCAACTCAAAGCATCAAACATACATTTCTGTGCAGAAATCTAGACAACTATACAAGATCTGAATTTAAGCAGTCATCTTTTTATTATACAACTCTATGAACATAAAATGAACAGAATGCTCTATATACTTACCTGTACATGTGAACATAACTTCTTTAGCTACAGTTATTTAATATAGGTCATACTGGATTTAACTTTACAATTCTGAATAACTATGTATAACCTTATTGCAATAAGGGCAATTTCTACATGGGGAATTTCACAGGCCAATCACATTAGGCGAAACCAGTACATTCAAAGTGTAGAATCATGTATGAATCTTCCCTGATCCCAAAGAATTTAGGTTCTCTTTACAGCTTAAGCTCGTTTGCTATCTTGGATGCAATGTTCTTAAATGCAATAGAAGTCCCAGATATTCTCTTGAAGCGAACTCCATTGAGCGACAATCGTGGCAGTTTGCAGACTTCCATCTCCCACTGAACAAGGCTGTCTTGTCGTGCATCACCGTGGACACAGAAGAGCAAAAACCTCTCTTTCTGTTCGTAATCACAGTTATTGGCATCTAACACTTTCCGAATCTCTCTCATCATATCGTTCGGGTCCATAGAACTCGTGGTCTTCATACTCCACGTGAACCGCAAGGAGCGTGGCTTTGAATCTTTGCTATCCTCCTTCTCTCTGTCTTTAGGCTCCCCAGAAACACTCCTGGAACAAGTGACACACAGCAAAGTCAAAACCAGAGCAGTGTAGCCGAGAGAGAGAAGAGAAGAGAAATACAGTTCTTGAGCAGGGGTTTCTAAACTGCCATAGAGATGCCACGAGTGGCAGGCAAGCTAATTCAGGGAGTGGGATGGACACTGCTG